GTTTCCCCACAGGCCCAGACCTGGGCTCTGCTGGAAATGGGATTAATTACGATTCGGGCGTGCTAATGGACTTGGGGCCGACCTGCTCAGACTTGTGCACAGGCCCCTTTCTGTCCTGAAAGGCAGCACGTCGTCCGACAGCTGGAGCCACCTACCCTCACCTTGCCTCAGTCTCCCCATCTGTAACTGGGGTAACCACAGCGCACAGTCACTTCAGGGCTGCTGAGAAACCTAAAGGAATGACCACCGTCATGTTCACCTGGATAGAAGAGGTTCTCCAGCCTCTTCCCCGTATTTGGAAATTTAGAGCGTTGGGTGGTTTTCTGGCTTCTGTTCAAAATCCTAAAGGTGACTGTTCCCGGAGGAAAAGGGGCAGGAACTTGCACTCTGCACCGCACAGGCAGGCATCACGGATGCCTGCCTGTTCTTTCTCCCCCGGCGCGCTATCCCTCCCTCTCCCTCGCCTCTCATGTCCTCCCTGCCCTCCCTCCCTCTGCCCTTCTCACTCAGGACTGCACAGTTCCGCCCTCCCTTGGGCTTGGGGGCATTAACGCTCCAGCCAGAGGGAGCTGCTTTCTCCTGATTCTGTATGTGGCTTAAAAGGTAGGGAGGAGGACTCTCCTAACATTTTTGCAAAGATCGGCTTTTCCTGGGCTTTGTTTGAAATTTCAAACAAAGTGTAAAGTATGTTTAAAATTTAAATGGAGGGAACATCTCTCTGATTTTTAATTGGATTCTAAAGCTCTCATTGGAATATGAGGTCCTTTTGGATCTATTCTTAGAACAGACAGCTGCCGGGTGATTTCCACCCACCACAGACAGTTTCTGCATTCTTTGCAATTTAGCTAAGTTGATAGAGGGGACCCCGTGGCTCTTTCTTGCCCTTGTTTTTTGTCTTTTTCCAAATGGCATTTGTATTTCTCACCTAGCTAATTTCCTGTCATCCAGAAAAGGAGGAAGAAAGAGCTTTTATCTGTGCTCTGGTCCTGTAGTTCTCACCTCCCGACCATGAGGCCTGAGGATGTTTCTGATTTACTGCTGAGGAAACTGAGCTCTGGGAGGACTGAGCAGCTGGTGAGGGAGGAGCTGGGACTGCCAGGGCGACAGCTCGAGCAGAGCCTCAGAGAGGAGGCGCCCAGCCACCTGGCAGAAGGGCAGCTGGGCAGGCGAGGCGAGGAAGGACAGGGCACATCGGGCAGGACACAGGTTCTGGCAAGGGGGCGGGGTCCTGGGCAGGACTCTCCCGAGGTGGAAAGCAAGTGTCCTGTTGTTAGCCATCTCTCCCAGCTGCTAACCAACAGGCCAGGCCTGGTGCTCCAGTCCGGGGGACCCCGAGGGGCTGGGCGAATTAGAAGCAGAGCCCTGGGCCAGGGTTGCCAACACTGTTGCCGAACAAACTCGAATTAAATCGTCACAAGAGAAGCCAATAACTCAAGGACGGACATTTATGTCGGGTGCCGGCAGCGGGGCGTGGGCTCAAGCCTTAACAACTCCCTTCTCCACCCACAAGACAGACATCTAGGGTTTTACAGAGAGGTCTGGGGGTGGTGGTACGTGCGGAACAGGCAGGAGCGCGAGGTCATGGGTGAGGGCAGTGTGTGTTCAGCACGGTCGGGGGCAGGGGAGGGGGCACGTGGGGTGTGGTCTTCCAGGCATTCCGTTGCTATCAGGGCTTTTTTGGCCTGGCGATTGGAATGGGCTCAGACAGCCTCTCTCTCAGAAGTGTTTGGGTTTGCACAGTCCCTTCTGTGTCCCCCTGCCAATGACGCACGTGTGTGGGTGGCTGCAAGAGCATGTGTCTCCCCCTAGATAGAAGCTCCCTGAGGGCAGGGGTCCCACTTGGTTTTTCCAGCAGCTTGGCACAGCTCCTGCCATGGGCTGGGCTGCAGGTCCCCCGGGGCTCCCAGGGTCACCTCCAGTGCAGCCCCCTGCAGAGGGACGCTCCTCACCCTGCTCTGCTCCTGGCCCAAAGCCTCACATCTCCATATAGGCAGGGTCTTTCTGGCAGGGCTTGACCCTCAGCCCTGGCTCTCCCCCACGGAGTCCTGCCCCAGGGCACTGTGTGACACGGGGACACAGCCCTCCTTCCCACTGGGACCCACGGGAGCCGCTTCCTCCAAATCCACTTCCTGCCCAGGAACCATAATCCCAGCCGCCCTCGGTGAGTGCCCTTTCCTGCAGGGGTGACCTGGGCCTTGGCTTGCAATGATGAATGGAGACCCCGGGGCAGCCTGTAAAGGAGCACGACTGTCCCTGTCTGAGAGCTGAGGACACCGAGGAGGGCAGAGGGTGAGGGGCCAGCTCGGGAGCTCCTGCTCTTCCCGCGCCGCTGTGCCCCCTGAGACTTCTCTTTAAACACAGGGAAATTAAAAAGACACTTCTCTTCCATAGTCCCACCTCTCCCGGGCCAGACGGTGTCCCCAGATCCCGCCACCTGGCTGTGAAGGCAGGCCTGTGCTCAGTGCTGACGGCTCAGCGGGCCCTCCTGGGGCCGCCTGAGAGGTTGGACCAGAGGAGCAGGTGAGGGGCCCAGCACAGTGCCTGCCGCACAGCAAGCTCCTCAGAGATGTGGCGGCTCCCTTGGATGGGGACAGGCCGTGACTAGAGAGGCAAGGAGCCGCAAATCCCTGTTCCGCCTTGGGCCACTGTCACTGGAGGTCAGAGATGCCTTCCGGTGCTAAAAATGCTTCTGCGCCTGGAATGCGCGGATCTCGGGCGCCGTCCCCCCTGTGTGCCACTAGATGGCGGTGCTGCCTCTTCCTTTCCGGGGACTCCGGCACTCAATCTCAGCTCTTAAGCAGTGACCCAGGTACTAGACCTGCACCCAGATCCCACACAGCAAGCCCCCTTTCTCTCACAAGGCCTGAGGAACAACACTCAGGGCCGCTGCATGACCCGGGGCCGTCCAAGCCTGCTGCTCTCTCAGTTTTCCCAAGGTGGTCCCACCGCAAGCTCCTTGGGTCCCGATGCAGAATCAAGGTCATTGACAGGGGAGGAAGAGTGGAGTCATTTGTCCCCGAGGATCCCCTCTCCAGTCCCTTAGGTGAGTCTCCACTTGGGCCAACTGAGGACATGACTTGTGGTTCAGGCATGGAGCCCAGATCACAAATCCTGCTAAATTTAGGAGCCGTGGCCCCAAACTGCGGTCATTTGGTGACCATCGTGACTTTTTATATCATTGCCTTAAATAAAAACTCAGTATTTCCTGTCCACAAGTAGAAGTGCAGAGCACAAATAATGCAAGAAAAAAAAGAAAAAAAAACCAGTATTCTTAAATCCTAGTTAGACATGGCTGTCTTCCCTCTCCCTCCCTCCCCTCCCAAGAAAGAAGTGAGTAAATGCCAGGGAGGATTCCAGGTAGACTAGGCACCAAGCAGACTCACAAAGTCCCCAAAAGACTTTTGAAAGAACAAGAATTGCGAAAGGATTCAGTGAGGTCCTTGCTCTGTCCAAGAGCCAGCAGATTAGCACCCATCTCACACTTTGGGAACACAGACACACAAAGTGAACTTCCCCTTCGGGCTCGTCGAAGGCAGGTTCTCCAGGTGTGTTCTTGAGAGCCTCGCGATAGGGACGAGGACCAGAAGGAGAGCCACGGGCAGGAAGGACTCGGAACCAGGCGTCCTGGCCAGAGGAAGTGCCCTCGGTGGACAGGAGATGGGCAGCTCCCTGGTGCAACCTGCTGACCCCTGAGCACAATGATGTTGGGGGGACTGTCCAGGCTCTCTGCACCTTTTGGGGCTCCACAAATTCTTCATTAAACTTCTTAAAAATCATATTTATAACTTATTAACTGCCGCAAAACCAGCCTATCCATAAATGTAATGTATCAGATCTTAGCGCATTGGAGCCACCAACCTGTCCGCCTGTGGGACGGGGGACTCTCGGTCTTGTTGAGCCCTCAACAGACCCAAGCTGGCCCCAAATCTGCTCAGTTGAAGCACACACTGGGAGAACGGTCTAAAACTAGTCCTTTGCAGCCTTTTATCTGCATGACTCAGCTCTCCCTTGGTACTGTGCAGCCACAGAAACGGGCAGGCTTGTCGAAACAAGCACCCGACATCCCAGACCCTTCCTTCCCAGTATGTGTGATCCTCACGTCAGTCTCGCCACTAAACATGAAGATTTTAGCCCAAGACCTCGGGATCATGCAGCCAGCCCCCTCTAGGGAAGCAGCTGATGGCTGATCTTCTAAAGTGGTGTGTGAAGTACTGAGAACAGCCCCGGGCAGGGGGCACCTTGGAGGGCTTCCGGGATGGCTAGCATGCCAGAGAGATTGATCAGCCAACATGCGGCACCTCCATCCCTCCAAACTCAACCCACCTCCTGCACTGACACCAGCCGAGACCAGAGAAACCGTCCACATCTCTTGTTTCATGTCCTTGCATCAGAAAGCCCCGTGAGGGCCAGTGGGCTGTGTGCTGCCCCATCCGACAGGGACGCTGCTGGAGAGCGGAGGGAGGGCTGGGTGCTGACAGAGATTAAGTGAGGGGGAAGACACATTCTCTTCACTGTCAAGTCCTTTCCTTCCGGCAGCGGAAATCCGGGAGCTTCTTGCAGGACCAAGTATAGCTTCCCACAATGCTGGTGTGGGTTATGAGCGACCCGCGCATCCGGGCGTCGTGCATGGGCCCCCCCCGCCCCCGACGTGACTGTGTTCACGCATCATTGTTACATCTCTGACCTCCACACACAAGCCATCCGTAGCTTCACACAGGTGTCTTCTGCCATTTTTGTCATTGCCGGGGACCGCTGGTGACCACAGAGGCTGGGACATGCTTTATTTGGACCCAGATCTGGGTCCCCATCCGGACGTCATCCCTTCTGAGCTGTGCAACCATTACTGAATGTACACTGAGTAAATGCATCCATTTTAATCTATAAAACAGATGTAAGCTAGTAAACGAATTCTTTCATTTTGAAATTTTTCATATTGGCGCTCCAAATGAGATTTTTTTTCTGTGTGTGTATTAAACCCCTCTGTGGCTGCAGGGGGAAAACGCTTGGAAATGTTGGACGAGATGATTCGTGGGCCCTTCCGAATGGCAATGGTGAGCCCGGACCCTGGGCAGCCTCCTCCCTCTGCTGTTCGCGTGATGGTGAGGCCTCTGGGTCCTGCTGGTTCCAGTGCCTCACTTTGGGATTAGCGGTGGCTCGCTTCTCTTTCTGCCACTCCGTCCAGAAGATTCCGGTAAGTAGAGAAAGCCATCTGCCCTGCCCCAGGCCTGGGGGGCCATCTGTCCGAGATGCCCAGGATGCCCACAGACCTGGTGTCCTGGGTCTGCTCCCATACCGCAGATGGGGAGACTGAGTCTTCCGGAGACTCAGACCTTGGCTCCAAGCTGCACCTGGAGCAGGTGCATGGGTCGTGGTGCTGGGCTGAACACGGAGGCGCCTGGCCCCAGACCAGAGCTCCGAAGCATGCAAGTGCAGGGCCTCTCACCCAGCTCCCTCCTGCCTGGGGATCACCTTGGCAAGATGTGCCCATGTTCGCGGTGTCCCCCCGGAGGCTGCGGATGCTGCAGAGAGAGGAGCTGGGCCAGGCCAGGCCCCCGGGGCAGCACCGCTCTGAGGCTTCCCCTCTTGACCCCCCAGCCAGCACAGCTCAGGACTCTGTGATGCGACAAACAGGACAGCCTGACCTCTCCGGTTGCTACATTCAAGTCAGGGGAGGGGGTGTCCCCTGAAGGAGGACCAGCTGCACCGTGCCTGCTCCTCCCCAGCCAGCACTGGTCACCGGTCACCCTGCAGCACCCAGCCTGTTTGTCACCAGGTAAGGAGGGGGCCCTCGGCAAGGAGGGGCAGGGCCTTCTCCGGAGAAGCCATGGGGTCTGGTGTGGGGGCCTCACTTGGCCAGAGAGGAGGAGGAGGCTCCAGAGAAGGGGCAGCTAGGCCCTCTGGCCCTCCAGTCCTGGAGCAAGCATGTGGCCTGGGTGAACCGCAGCATTGCACCTGCTGTTGTACCATCTTGGGAAAGTGCCGTGACCCCTGAGCCTCAGTCTCCCCAGCAGTAAAATGGTCTAACTCGTCCCGCCCGCACAGAGCTCCTCCATGGGTGGCCCCAGCACATACCCGCACATATGTGCAGAAGCTGCTCAAAACAGGACATTGACCTTTGTCGCCAGGCCCCATCAAAGCTAGACTCAGGGGCTCTCCTCAGGGCGCCTACCCCTCCCGACTCCCAGCACCGCACCCTCCTCAGGCTCCAGAGGCCTCATCGGCCCCCCTCCACCCACCACAGTGGGGCCAGGGAGAGAAGGCGGTTAGGGGCAGGTCAGCCCTCGGGCCTCTGTCCTTCTGGATCTTTGGCCTCTCACCTTGGCTCTGTGTCAGGCAGACCAACAGAGGCCTTTGGTTTCCTGACTCAGAGTCTCTGAAATCAGGCTGGAGCCTCACATGTGGTGAGCACGTCCCCCCAGGAGACCGTGTGCTTCACCGCGTGAGCCTCAAAGCCTGCGGAGGGACCGCAGATCGGGCAAGGACATTCGAGGCCCCGATTCCCGCCTCCCCACCCACCCCACAGCCAGGGACGTTGTGGCCTCACTGGGCTCCTGACTGTTCTCGAAGGTTCACGCCTGACTTTCACTTACACTTTTTCGCTAGCCGGGGTTTGTCTGTCCAGCTAACCCCATTTGAGACTCAGCCAGGGTACTGGCCCTGCTTCCTGCCCGGAAAGGCAGGCTGCAATCTGACCCCAGATCTCTCCCATCCTTCCTCCACGACCCCTGGCTGCCCACGAGAGTCAGCTTTGAGAACACTGAACCCCAGTGCAAACCCGAGTCCCAGGCCAGGGTCCCGCCCACCCGTGTCATCCAGTTCCACCCCAGAGAACACACAGCTGGGCTGGGCAGCGTCCAGCCCTCGGTTAGCCCTGGGCTCTGCCGGTTGCCCCAGCCCTGCTCTACCCCCTCGGCCCTCGACTTGGTCAGGAGCCCCTTTTATGCCTTTTAGCTGCTCAGCCAAGATTGGGCTCTTCTGGTTTCTGACCCCGGCCTTGCCATTTGCTGAAGGGGGGGTGACCTTGGGAAGGTCATGTGCCTCAGTTTCCTTGCCTGTAAAATCCTATAATTGCAGCTCCCTGGTGGGGAAGCTGAGCTGCCTTGTGGTGTAAAACGGGTGACGTGCTGAGCTCCCTGGTGGGGTGAGTGGTCTGTAAACGGTGCCGCCTTTTCCGACCCTGGCCTCGGGCGTTCTCCTACCCGCCATTCTGGGGAGCAGCATGACTCGGCGTCACTCCACTCACACGGGGGCCCCTCGCCCGCGATTGGGAGAACATGGCTCCTCCTGTGCAGTGTGTTTTCCCATTTCAAACGGCCTCCGAGGTCGACAGCATCGCTGTGGGGGCTGGGAGGCTGCGGCCCTGGGCAGAGGAGGCCCAGCAGAGCCAGGCCGCACCTCACACCTGCCCCCCCCCCCCGTGTCCCCTGACTTCTGGCTCCGTCCTGGGTAGACACAGAGCTGAGAAGGTGCTCCCAGGGGCCCAGGCGCCTGCCACGCCCCCAGAACCGCCTTCCCTGCCTCCCCAACTCCCAGGCCAGGGAGTGGGTGTACCGCCAGGCAGGAGCCTGAAGCTCAGGAGGAAACGTGGTCCTGCACAAAATTGCCTTTCGGTCAGATGTTCCCGTGCCTGTGGTCCCTTCTGTGTGAGTGGCCGGGGCTTTGGTACCGCGTGACCGTGAGCGGGGGGCTTAGAGCAACAGAAATCTATATTCTCCCAGTTCTGGAGGCCAGAACCTAAGATCACAGTATGGGCAGGACCAGAGGTTCTAGGGGAGGCCCCTCCTGCCTCTCCCAGCTCTGGGGGCCCCAGGCATCCCTGGCCTGTGGCCGGGTCCTCCTGTCTCTGCCTCCGTGGTCCCATGGCTTCCCTGTGTCTGTCAAGTCTCCTTCTCTCTTAAAAGGACACTGTCTTTGGATTTAGGGCCCATGCTCAATCCGTGAGGATCTAATCTCTAGATCCTTAATTGATTATATCTGCAAAGATTCTTTTTCCAAATACGGTCTCACTTACAGGTTCCTGGGGTTAGGACGTGGGCGTGTCTTGGGGAGCCCCCACTCCCGTCTCCTCTCTGTCCGAGATGTGATGGGGTCTCAACACTGCCTCGGAGAGAGTGTGGGGTTTGCACTGTAACAGTTCCCGTGGACTAGCTCGCGATCTGCACCAGCAGGTGCCTGCTGCCCCCTCCGGCCGTTCCCCGAGCCACTTGCCAGGAGATGAGAGATGGTGGGAGGGGGGCTGGGCGAGCGGACATCCAGGTATCTGTGGCAGAAAGTCCCACAGAGAGCACCCAGGCCCACCCCTCGGTTACAGATGAGAAACCTGGGGCCTGGCTGTGTTTTGAAGCTCCTCTGCCCTTGCCCTCCACCCCTCCCCCACCCCGCCTCTTCCTCGGACTCCCGCTGACCATCACAACAGCCTTCGGGCCTTCTCTGTTCTGCAATCCCCATGGGAGCCATCCCTGCCCATGAGCCCCTCTGCCTCCCCCCGAGACTCCCCTCCCCGCTCTGTGCACCCCGAGCCCCTCTGGCTTCGGCCTTCCCTGCCCCCACCCCTGCAGGCAATCTCCCTGTCGCCCAGCTCCTCTGGCTGATGCCTTCGGCCTTTCCTCCCCCGCCCTTGCAGAAAACCTCCTGATGACAGACAGGGCTCAAGGCTTCTGTGCCCACCCCACCCCCCCACCACGCCCATCCTCAGTTTCGCGTTTGCCCTTTCTTGGCTCACCGTCCCCTCCTCGGATCTCCGACCCCCACGAGGAACAGGCGGCATGGTCTGTCCCCCGTGCTCCTGGCCCACGCAGAGCACCAGCCCCACACTGGCCGAATGAATGGAATGTGACCTACCCCGATTCCATGGCCAGAAAGTGGCTCCCATGCTGGTGTTGTGCTCGGCCCCCACCAGAAGGAAAGCCACGTGCCTGCTCCCGGAGCTCCAGGCTCTTGGAGTCACCTGGTAGGCGCTAACCTCTCTTGACACTGTGTCTCTAGTGACAGAAAGGTCAGTCCCAGAGGAAGGAGCCTGGGAGAGTGCTGCCCTGGTGATCTCTTGCTTACGGAGCACCCATAGGCTCAACTTACGTAATCATGTTCATTGAGCACCTGCTAGGTGCCAGGCCCTCCAGGAGGCTCGAGATCGAGATCCACCAGGGAACAGAAGAGAATACACCCTGCCCTAAGGGAACTTGCATCCCAGCGTGGGGTCCAGACAAACAAATGAACAAGTAAGTGTGTAGTACATGAAGTGGTGGTGCGGGCAGACAGAGAAACACAGCTGGATAAGGAGGGTGGGAGTTACCCTTTTATACACTGAGAAGACATTTGAGCAGAGACCTGAATGAATTGAGGGAACAAGTCACATAGACATCGAAGGAAGAGCATTCTCGGCCCAGGGAATAGCAAGTGCAAAGGCCCTGCGGAGGGAGTGTGCCGAAAGCAGCGAGGAGCCCAGAAGGGCAGGGAGGTGGGAGAGGAGGTCAGACGGGTGAGGAGGGCAGGTCACAGAGGACTGGTTTGGACCCCTGGCGAGAGGGAAGTCATCAGAGGGCTAGGGACACCATCTGGCTTTGGGTGGTGTGGTCATCCCAGCAGCTGGGTGGAGGATGGGCTGTGGTCAGAGCAAGACCGATGCCGCGTGCCCTGTGTGGTTGGGAGGCTGTGCGGCAATCCAGGGCAGAGACTTGGCAGCTGCAGACGTCGTGCGAGGTGGTCAAACTCCAGATGGTCTTGCAGGTAGCGTTGGTGGGGTTTGCTGATGACTTGGGTGTGAACCAAGGAGGAGTCAGCCTTGACTCTGAGCAGCTGGAGGGAAGGAAGGGCAGTTCTGGGGAGCAGTCCCGGGCCCCACAGGGAGCTGAGGCCGGGCTGCACCTTCCCTCTGCCAGTCGCTGCCTGCCCCTTCCGGTCCCCGCCAGAGCCCGAGGATCACGCAGAGGGACACTCCGCTCCTCCCCACCTGGCAGGAGGCGGCAGGCCTGCTGGGGCGCACGCAGCCCGCAGGGGTGGGCAGGCCCGCCAAATCCTCTTTCCAGGGATGTGGTCACAGTGGTAGAGACACAGAAGCTCCCAATTAGGGGCCTGGACAGGATCCAGAACCCCTGGGCCTCTGCCAGCCGCAGACTCTTCCAAATCAGGGTGTGTGCGCAGGGAGAGGTGGGAGGGAGCAGTCAGAATGGAAAAGACCCAGAATCCCGAGCCGGTTGACCTGGTTTCTAGGCCCGGCCCTGTCTCCTGGGCTCCTCCATTGAGGAGGAGAGTGGGGAGGTTGGCGGCGAGGATTTCAGCAGAGCTTACCACATGCCAGGCTCTGTTCTCCGTACAGTGCGCCCTTCCCAATCCTGGGTGATGGTTGCTATTTTTAATCCCCGTTTTACCCATGAGGAAACTGAGGCCCAGAGCTGGTAAGTCACTTGCCCCAGGTCACTCCGTTGGGAAGTGGCCCCTGAGGCATGTTGCTCACCACGCTGCCTCTCAAAGCCCCGTGCGGCCGGCCTCAGCCCACAAACATCCCCCGTTCCCCAGCCCCAGTCCTACTGCTGTCCTCACACCAAGCCTCCCAGCCCCAGGGCCTTTGCCTGTGCTGTTCTCTGCCTAGAGTGCTCTTCCTGAGGCTGACTCTCCGTGCACTCTTCAGGTCTCAGTGGAAATGTCACTTCTTCAGAGACATTCCCTGACCACCCACCTTCCCCCAAAATCCAGACCTCATCTTGCTCCTCCGCTGACACCTCAGCCTTTCAGTAAAGCCTCCCAGGCTCGGAATACAATGGTGAGCACAGAGAG